CAGCGTGACCTGCGCGTCCCCAACACAAAACCACTGCCCCCTCCCCAAGCCATTGCTGAGGGTCCCCCCCCCAGCTCCGTCGCCTCTCCAGCCGCAGTTTGCCATTAAGTCACTAATTGCACGCCCAGGCTGCTTTGCAGAGCACAATTAATGAGCGCTTGCTTCCCTGACGGCTGCTGACCCTGCCAGACGCAGGAGCAAATTGGCTGCTGTGGGGAATGGTGATGCTGCGAGCGGCCAGCGGCGGGGGCACGGATCCGGGGTAATCATCGTTACAGGATGAGTTATTCATGTGTTCACTTTGGGAGAGCGTGGCCACTCTCTGCTTTTGGGGATGGTGGCAAAATGAGGTCGGGACACAGCAGAGCTGGGGTGTGAGCCCCTCCTGCCATCCCGGGGCATTTTTTTGTGACTGGGATCGTGCAAAGCGGGTGGGAAGATGCTTTGGGAATGCTGCAGCCGAGCAAATCAAGGTTAGAAAACGTGCAAAGCTCATCTCCACAGCACAAACCCTGCCCCATCCGTGCGATGGGATGCAGAAGATGAGGGGATGGGGATGAGCATTGAACACCCAAATGAGCTCCTCACCTCTGTCCTAGAACCCTGGGGGCTCTGCCCACACCCAAACCTGGCCCAAACCTCGCTAAAACAGCGAGCAAAGCGCCCTAGCGCGCCAGCCCTCGCCTCAAGCTGCGCAACACTTCATTATATCACTAAAGATTAATCTGCCGCTCCTAATTGCTGAGTGCCCGAGAGCTCCTGGCGGGGAGAAAAGTAAGCGCCAGGCGGAAAAAGCCAATTTTTTATTATTTTTTTTTTCTCCACTGTAATATTTAGGTCGGTTTACTGATGTGGGAAGCATAGGGATGGGAATTCATGCAGTTTAGGGGAGCGGGGGTGGTGGTTTTATAGCATTTCTTGGGGCGTTTTTGCCTGGCATCTCCTCCATCCTGGTCCCGAGAGGGAAAAGCACGCGCGGCTCCAGCTGAACGTCAAGAAATACTGATTTTTGTGGGGTATTTTTGTGCTTTTAATGGGGAATCTTTGCTCAGTTCTTCCTCCTCTGCTTGCTCGGTTCAGGCGGGGGAAAAAGGAAAAAAGTCTCTGCCAAGCGCAGTGATTTTGGGAAGGCTGAGATCAAAGCGCTCTGCAGACTCAGCAAACCTCTTCAGCCAGCCAACAAAAAAGGGCAGGGGTTTTTCTGTAGGAAAAGTCGATGCTGTAATTTTCCACGTTTCATTTCAGAAGCAAAGGTTCGGGTCCGATTTGGACTCATTCGATGCATTTCAGCATCAAAAAGCCTGTGTGGGGGGCATGATTTAGGACACTGCAGGATCGCACCCCTGCAACTCAATGACCCATTTCCCTCTGATGGATTGCAGGTGACAAACTGAATTTTTTTCCCCCCTTACTTTGCAGGAAAAATGCCCTAAATACTGAATCAGGCCAAATCCACAGCTCTGAGTATTTTGGGTTGGCTGGGGAAGAGCAACTCATGTGGTTTTTATTGTTTTCTGAGCTCTGCAGCGGCTGATTCACTCACATCCATGCAGAGCAAGGCAATTGCTCACTTTGCACCCTGGAAGCCCAGCAATTATTTTTTCCCCCTATTTTCGTGATGTTTGTGTGGTTTTTCAGCACCTGGGGTGTTTTGCTGTGGTTGTCCCCTGTTGCCATCCCCGGCTCCTCCAGGTATTTAGGGACCCATCGCACCTCCGCATCCCTCGGCAGCCAGTACCCATGGGATGCAGACCCCAAATCCCCACACACCCCATCCTCCCTGGCCCCTGGAGCAGTCACAGCACCTTATGCTCAGGAAAACCACAGCTTTGGGGTATAATTAAAGCAAAAAGGCAGAATAAAATCCTATCAGCAGAGCAGCCGAGTGCTTGAAAGGCTCCGATTGAGTCATGGTTTGAAGGAGAAGCAGCAAACGTGGTCACCCTCAAAAAATTAGGGCTTCTGTAGCTCTTGCTTTCTTCTAGCATCTAATCCCATGCTGAGGCTGGCTCTGCTTGACTTTTGGGGTACTGAGCAGCCCCTTTGGGATTTGGTGTCTCCAGCTCAGCGCTGCTCTGCTGCACCCTGCACTGGGGGCATGGAGAGTTTTCTGGTCTCCCCCCATCCTGCTCAGCACCCTCAGCATTGCTCCTACCCCCAGAAAACCACCCCAGTGCTGTGTTTTTGTGCATTTTAAGCCTAAAACTCAATTTCTGAGGCTGGCCCTGTCCCCCACACTATGCATGGTTCCCATCGTCCTCGGAGCAGCCCTGATGCGATGTGGGGGGCGATGCAGCTTTGATGCATCTTTTTTCCCAGGGGAGATGAATCCCATCTACTGGATTAATTACCTGTAATTAATCACCTATGGATGGCTCAGCAATGTAAGCAACTTTGAATGGGAAAAGGTAGGGGGGGGAATATCTGACCCCAGCCCTGCCAAAAAGCTGGGATATTGGCACCGAGCGAGGAGCTGGAGGTGCAGAACTAATGTCTGTGGGTCCTAGCTGCGGAAGGGGGGCTATTCCATAGGGATGGGGGCTATTCCATAGGGATGGGAAGCTCCTTCCCAAAAATGAGGACTTGGACAGCCAGCATGAGGGTGTTGGGGTCTGTCCTTGTGCATCCCCTGGATTCATCACAGCGGCTGCTGATGCCGACTCAGGTTTTCTGCCCTCACAGTGCGCTTTGCTCCATTGCTGTGGTTTTGAAGGTGAATCCTTTCTTTGGACACCTCTGCAGCAAGCAGAGGGGCAGTTTAATCCATTTAATGCACATTTTTTTCCCCCGACACCAATTTGAGCAGCCCTGAAGGGAAGGAGGATGAAGCAGGATTAAACCAGAGAGCTAAGAGCCGGGTGCAGGGGTGGCTCCCATGATGACAAGGAGCATGGTTGTCACTTGGAGAAGCTCATCCGGGGCTGGAGAGGGCAGTCCCTGCAGTGGGAGCACCAGACAGAGCCTCCTGACCTTTAAGGAGAGGGAAAACAAAACGGCTGCTGGAGCTACAGATAAATATCACTGGGATAAATACGGACAAATATCAGTGGGGTTTCCAGCCGCTGCAGGGCATGCGAGACGGCGAAGTGACTCGAGGGACATTGGGACCTGATGGCAAATTGGGGGACAGCCCTAAGGAGGGTCTGACCTCCATCAAATGTGGCCCTGATGGTTTGGGATAAGCCCAGCCCGCTGTGTTCCCCATTGCCCCCCAGTTCCTCACCCTGGCAGTGCCAGGCTTTGCTGGCAAGGGACATCTGCTCACTGTGGGGAGATCTCCCCAAGAGGGGTAAACCCAGCTCCATTAATACACTAATTCAGCTCGTTTCAGACATGATTCACCTCCATCTTCTTTCCAGGATGCCCAGACCAAGGGTTCCCCCCGCAGGACACCCCAATTCCCGCTCCATCCCCATGGACAGGGCCTTGCCGTTGCACCCTGGGGACCAGGGACTGAGGCCGGGGAGGGGTTAGCGAGGCGTGGAGCAGAGGATGGGGAAATGGGGTTGCCACGGAAACCGCTGAGCAGCAAATCGTTGCTTTTTTTTATTATTATTGAGACTGGAAAACATGCGGGGGAGAAGGGCAGCGGCGAAGCCCCGCGACGCAGAGGAGCCGGGGGACGGTTTGAACCCTGGGCGTGCAAAGCAAAACTTGGGTGCTTGGGTGTCCGAGAGCTGCATCCTGCACCACTGGGAGCACCATTAGGGCCAGGCTCCCTCTGCTTTTGCAAAAAATACCAGTCCAGATCCCTCATTTCAGGCTTTTCCCACCCAAACGTGCCCTGTTGTACCCCAGGGATGGCGTGTGAGCCCCGGCCCTGCACTCCCTGTGAGCTTCTCGTGAGGCACAAGGTCACGCCGATGTTTTATTCATCCCCTTGTATTCATTAATTGCAGCCACGCTTTGCAAGTGTAAATAATTGCCTCGGAGGCTCATTAATGACTTTGGCGTGCTAACGAGCATGGAAGCCCGAAGCACAGGCCCAGGGGTACCTGACCCTTCCCTGGGCTGCCAGGACCCACAGAAACTGGGGGGCTAGCACCCAAATCTGGGTGCAAAGTGCCTTGAGCTTTGCCTGGGGAAAAATTCTCACCTTAGCCCAAGATTAAAAATGAATGATGGGTTAATCCAGCAGCGAGGGACGTCCTCCTGTAGCCAAAGTTGCATCTCCAGGATGGTCCCCAATGGCCTTTCCCTGGAAAACCCTCCCGGCTGTGGGTGGAGGTGCTGCCCTGCCATGGTGCAGCCCTCAGCATCCAGAGCCAGCCAGGGCACCGCTCCAACCTTAATTAAAGGTCTTTAATTACCAAGAAGGTGATGGATGGGCATCAAGCCACCATTATATCCCAAGCTGGGGGCTGGAGCTGGCTGGGGGCTCTTGGAGGACCCCCAAGGCTCAAATCAGGGGGTATGAAGCGAATGAGAGGTCCCACCCCAAAATAATCCCCACTCTGTGCTGCTGATGCTGTTCACGCCTTTATTGCCCAAACTGGAGGGGTTTTCCCCCCATCCCTTCTTCTTTCCTAGGGACACAGTGCCCTCTAGCCAGGTCCGTGTGTCCCAGAGCAGAGGGACACGGTGGCATCCTGACACCGCTGCGACCACCCTGTCACCCTCCGTGTCTGCCCACTGTGTGAATTTGGGTGAAGAAGAAGTTTTATCTAGGGATAAAACCTGGCCCTTTCCCTCCCCTGGGACAGCAGCAGAGCCCCACATCCATAGGGCAATGTCCCTCCTCCCCCAAGTCATCCAAGTCCAGCATTTCCCAGAGAAGGGCAAGCTGCCCCAGTCAGACCAGTCTCCATTTCCAGGGATGTGACCGTTCCCAGTGGGCTCCCACTACAAGGGCAGGTATTTACTTGAATTCTGCCTGACCAAACCAGTCTGTGGCCGGAGCTCCCCAGGATGTCGGAGGGATCCCAGTTCAAGGAAGCAGGGAGCTGGGACTGGGGCTGGTGCCACCCCATCCCCCTCCCTCCCCACCCCAGCTGCAGCCGTCACAGCGTCCCTGGCACCACGTCCCCTCCAGCCCCATCGCTGGGCGCCGTCAGCAGAACTGCGGGAGAAGCAGAGCCCAGGGCGAGCGGTGAGGCCTCACCCAGCCTCGTGGCACCATTTTGGGGGGCTCTGCCACCCCCCAGGGATGGGTTGGGGTACCCAGATCCCCCTTGGTTGGGCACAGACCTTCCAGCGGTTCCCACATTCATTGCACAGCACGAATGTGGTCATGGGCTCATCTGCGCTGCGCGTCTGCACCTGGGGAGCAGTGGGGGGCCAGGTCAGCAGGGACCCTTCAGCATCCCCCAAATTGGGGTCCTTTGGGGCAGGGGGGCACCCTGGGGGTGTTGCAGGGCTGACCTGGTTGTAGGTGCAGTTCTTCTTCTTGCACTTGCCGCACTGGAAGAGGTCGGTGACGGTGCCGCCCGTCTTGGCCATCTGGTGCTCCCGGATGGCCTCCTGAGTCATGGCGTTCCTCAGCTCCTTCAGCTCATCGCTGGCCATCTCCTGCCATCGCCACCAGGGTCCATCACCCTCCCGTCCTCTCCAGGACCAGCACCGATCCTGCTCTGTGTTTGCTGGAGGGCTCAGGACCATTCAGATGAGGAAATCACCCCATTCTCAAACCAAAACTGCTGCCTGCAAGGACCTGGCTCCCCGGGAGGAAGCTGGGCTCTCCACAGGAGAAGGAGAAGGAATGAGGACCCCCAAACCTGAGTCCTGCTGGTGTGACATCCCTCACACAGCTCTGTGATGGGCTGGGGGGGTTCTGGGGGGACCAGGCAGTGTCCCCAGCTTTGTCCCTCTGCCTGATGCTCCCCATGACCCAACCAGCACCAGGAAAGACGCTGGGCCAAGCTCAGTGTGGCCACCACAGAGCCAAGACCCAGCCAGCCCCTGGGCAACACCACAGCCTCCAAGAGCAGAAGCAGAGCATGGACGTGGTCCCCAAAAGCCCACCTCGTGTCCCCCACCCCGCTGCCCACCTCGGCCGTCATGCGGGCGATGAGGCTGGGTGGGATGGCCCCACAGAGCACGTTCCTCCGCAGGCCGGGGTTTTTGGGGTCCTTCAGGTTGCTGATCCTGCTCCGCACCCGGTTGCGATACTTCATGTCTGTGCTCTTCAGCTCCTGGAAGATATGTGGGGGCTGTCAAGGAATCAAGGGGGTGAGCTGAGGGGGTGCCCATCCTGGGGGCACCCGTTGCTGTTCTGGGCTCGGTGGTGCCACTGTCACCAGGGCCCACGTGTGCATGGAGGTGACCGACCTCGACTGGACTTTGCTCCCTGAGGAACCAATTGTGGGATCAAATTGAAGGATTTAGAGGAGGGCAAACCACCCTGGGGCTGGGTCTGGTCTCGGGGGGCTGCCAGGAGACCCCAAACCTTGAGCTGGCTCCATCCCTGCCAACACAGCACAGCCTGGGCACCACAATGGACCAAGAGCCACGGGCACCCAGAGCAGGCTCAGAAAAGAGACCTGGGCTGGGTTCGGGTTTTATTTTCCCAGGGATGATGGCAGATCACTGAGCAGAGAGATTTGGGGGCACAGACCCCCAGACTAAGGCAGGAGCCATGGGGATGCTCTACTCTGCTCTGGATCAGCCTCTGACCGGGGTCTGGGCTCCCTCTGCAGGCAACTGGGACAGCAGAGCCCGGCACCTTCTGTCCCTGTCCCCATCACCATGAGAGTGTCCCCCAGCAGACAGACCCCGAGGACCCTCAGCCCCAAAAAGGATATGATCTTCGATCTCGGATGCCATCTTCTCACAGTTGACACCAAACTCCTTGTAGTCGTCTACAGGGCAGAGAGGCCGAGGGGTGACTTTTGAGTGTGAAACCAGCCAGGTTTCACTGAGAAACCCTCCCAAAAAAACCCCCTCATCTCACCTTGTCTCAGGCACCTCTACCTCTAAAAAAACTGCTTTTGTACCTAACCTGAACCCAGAATTAACTTCCTTATGAAGATGCCATCCAAGCCCCCTACTGGAGCCCCTGTCAACCTCCTTTTCTTTCATTTTTGGGGCTGAACACCAGGCTCTGAGCTACAGCTGTGGTTTAGTTGCAAGTCTGGGCTGAGTTTGCTGCCTTGGGGTGCCCCAGGATGCAGAGCCTCGCTTGTTACTGTAGGATTGCTCCTACTAGGGCTGTCCCATGGGAGAAACAGTCCTGTTTGGGCTCCAGCACCCCCCAACTCCATCACCCTCCAACTCCATCACTTCTTAAACACCATCACCCCCAGCTTCATCACCTCCCAAACATCATCACCTCCCAAGCTCCATTACAGCCCAAACTCCATCGCCTCCCAAACCCCATGACTGCCCAGCTCCATCACTTCCCCAATTCCATCACCCCCCAGCCCCAGCCCCCCCA